GAATTAGTAGGTCCCTTTTTACGAGGCGTCGTAACTTAGTTAAGTAGACTCGGTATTATAAAAGTCGTCGAATTAAGGAAAAAAGTGCGTTACGAAGGTATACGAAAGCGCGCCCGGAGCGAGGGTATTACGGAGATAGTAGATATAGAGCGTAGAGGTATAGGTATCGATACGAAGATTAAATATAGCGAGAGAGGTAGTATCGCGGTATCGCTAGGCAATAGAGTAAGCGTCGCGTAAGCCTATATTATAGTAACGTTAGAGTAAGGAAAGAAGGTAGGTATAGCTAAAAAAGGCAGGTACGGCAAACTTTGAAATATAGCTAGTATATATAGCCGGTATAGTAATAGGCGAAAGCCTCCTTTTAATAAATAGCCGGCGTAATAATAGTATCCTACTATAGTATAGATATTCTTTAGTAATGCACTTACTAGCTATAGTAATCTTATAAGTAACCTAGGCCTATTACTAGGAAATATAAGAAATATTAGGTAGGCTATACTAAACAAGCTAGTTATTTAGCAGGAAAAGGCCTATAACCGTCTCTATATACTAGCTACGAGTGCCGGCTATCGCTCTAAATTTAACTCCGCCCTATCTCGGAGGCTAAGGTACCAAGCGGAAACCCTATAGCTTATATTTACTCGGTTATCGCGGATCGCTTATAGGTAAGGTATTAGAAAAGAGTATAAAAAGTACGAGAAGAGTATCCTAGGATATAGGTCGTAAGTAAATAAGAGTAGCACGCCTAGTTATTTATATAGTACGTTACTCTATACGACTAAGAGCCTATATTATCTCGTACTTCGCTTATAAGACCTCGACTCTACTAATATACTATTAATCTCCTACTCGGTCGCTTTCTTAATTCTTCTTCGAGTTACCGGACTTAGTACGTATCTATCGCTATATAATAGCGCTACGTATTATAGAGAATTAACTCCGCCGTATCTCGAAGGCTAAGGTACCGAGCGGAAATCCTATAGCTTATATTTACTCGGTTATCGCGGAGCGATTATAGGTAAGGTATTAGAAAAGAGTATAAAAAGTACGAGAAGAGTATCCTAGGATATAGGTCGTAAGTAAATAAGAGTAACACGCCTAGTTATTTATATAGTACGTTACTCTAAATAACTAGGAGCCTATATTATCTTATACTTCGCTTATAAGACCTCGACTCTACTAGTATACTATCGATCTCCTCTTCGGTCGCTAATACGCTATCTTAATTCTTCTTCGAGTTACCGGACTTAGTACGTATCTATAGCTATACCATAGCGCTACGTATTATAGAGAATTTCTCGTTAAAGTTTCTCTCTCGTAGGCTTACTATCTACCTCGTAGTATAGAGGATTAAAGTACTAATACTAAAGAATCTCCTTATAGTTAGGATACTAGGGCTCCTTAGGACCTTTATATTTAGGTCTAAATAGAGACGCATTATAAACGTTCTATCGCCCTTTTACTTACTATCCGCTAGGTCGCGGTATACGAAGAAACTAATCTAAATATAGCTCGTCTCTATAATAGCTAGGTAAATATAGAGCGCTAGGATTCTACTTCGTACCTTAGATTTAGGGACGGCGCGGAGATAAAATTAGAAATATAGCCGGTACCTATAGCCGGTAAAAGGATACGAAAATAGGCCTCCTCCTAGGTTAATCTACCGACTAAATACAATTTCTAACTAATCCGCTATAAACCGACGCCGAATTTTAGCTAGAAGCTATATATCTTTATTTTAAAGAGTAACCCGCTTCGTATAGATAGTAAGTAGGTTTAAAAGCTTAAGCTCGGTTACGAGAAATGCCTCTATAGCTTCCTAAAGAGTACTAATCGCCTTAGCCGTAAATCGAATACTAGACCGAAAATCTAATATAATTTCTCGGACGAATCGCTAGAAGGGAGTCTTAGGGATTAAAAGCTCGGTCCCTCTTTTATTTTAGAAAAGCCGGATCTAGCGAAGGGTAATAGTACCTAGTTTAAAGCGCCGCTTCTTTATCGTCGAGTCCTGCCTTATTCCCTTTTTTTTAATAGAAAGATAACTTTTCTTTACGATAGCCTTCGTCCGCCTACTCTTTTTAGCTTTCTCCTATCTACCTAAAGCCTTTTTATTTTTCGGTACTATTTTCCGAGGAACCCCTTTCCTTCGTATATACTACGGAGAGTCTTACTTTTCTAATATCTCGTTCTCGCTACGGTCTCCCTATACCTAGCTTACTTTACCTTTACCCTTTAGGCTCTAAAGATATTTATCTACGCGTTTAGGCGACGAAGGTATATCGGTAGGACCTAGAAAATTAATGAGCCTATAATCGTAAGGAGATATTTATACTTCTTACCTTTTAGAACAAATAGTCTTCTATTAAACCGCCTTAGTAGGTTATCGTTAGATTCGTATAAAGGATAGTCGCTTAAGGAAGGGGAGGTAGCTAGCTTAGGAAGGCCCGAAGAGCCGAATCCTTAAGGTATATTTGTTTTTAAGAATATAGGGAAAGGGAAGAAGGAGAGGAAGAGCGAATAGAGAATTAGAAATAGTCTATAGGTAAGCGGGGTAGGTTACTATAGCAACTAGTCTATTTAGGTCCTAGGAATTCGGAATATATTAAAGATATATACCGGCTATATATACCGGCTACGCTACCTTCTACGTAAACGCTTCGTCTCTTTAAAGCTACTCTAAGCCTATATATATTTCCGCTTCTCGACCTAGTATCGCCTTCTATCTCCGCCCTCCTCCTCTTCGTTATCGCTAATTAGGGTTTCGCTTAGACTAAATTTCGTATTCTCTTCGCGCTTTTAGGTTTCTTCGATCTTAAGGTTTTCTAATTCCTCGATTAAGTCCTTTAGTATAATCTTTAGTATCCTACCTTAGCGACTCTAGTAAAGGAGATAGTATCGGAATACTATAATAGACTCGAAAGTAGTAGGCGAGTATATTCGATTAAAGCGGCCCTAGTAACGAGCAATACTAAAAGACCTCTTATAGCCTATACCTACGCTCGGTATAGCGAGGACGTCCTAAGCGACCGACGCTATCGTTAGAAACTTAGGCTCTAACCGCTACTATATAGTAAGAATATCGTCTCTATATTCGTCTAGAAGACTAGTAAGATCTAGAGATTATTAGCCCTCTTTCCGAGCCTATAGGTTTAGTACGTACCTACGCGCTAATAGAGATCGAACTCTTCTTTATTTACTTTAGTAGTTGCTTCCTCTTCTGCCTCTACTTCCTACCTACGAAATAGGTATAATATCGGAGCCTTCTAAACCTTCTTTTTCTTTATAGGAGCTATATTTAGACTAGTTTCTTTCCGACGCTCGTAGAATATCTTTTTTAGAATAGTCTAGTAATACTTAGGCTATTCCTCGTCGCCCTTCTATTCTAGCTTCTACTAGTATATATCCTTTTCTACCGGGTTAAGTAAGTATATAACGCTATAGAAATCCTCGAACGACTAAAAGGTAGTACTATAATATTTATATAACTTAGTATAGGAGGTGTCTATAGCTTTCGTTATAGCTACTTTCTAGGGAACGCTCTTCTTAGCTAGCTTAGCTACGGTTTCGTCGAGCTTATTAAAGAGCTAGTTATAATACGTAAAGATAAGGTAGATCGTCGGTCCTCGGGTTCTTCTAATTATAGTAGTAACCTTCGCGTAATACTTACTAATATCGACGAGATACTCTACTTAGCGCTATTTAGTAGGGGTAAGCCCGAGCTACTTAATACCCTCGGAACTCTAATAGATCTCGAGAGTAGTACGTAAAGTATATCCCTTCGTAACTATATAGAAAGTCGAATTAAACCGGGTTTTAACGTCTTAGGTAAAACGGAGTAGGCGCTAAGGAGGCCGCTTTTACTATCGCTTATTCTGTGCGATATTCCAGGTATCGGTTTTAGGGCGCTCGATTAGGTTCTTTTAAATAGCCTCGAATCGGTTATATCTCTAGAAGCTCGAGTTCGTATATATTACTAGACGACGAAGCTAGAGAAAAAGAGTTAGAACTATACTAGGTTGCCGGCTACGGGTAATAGCTACGGACAAAAGTTATACCTTATACAAAACGAAAGCGAGGCTCTCTACCTTATCCCGTCTTATTACTATAACGAGTTTCTCGACTTTCGACTTTACTTTATCCTTATCTAGGATCTTCTATTAGTCGTCGTTTAATAGTATAATTTTAAGCGTCTTAAAGAGGGCTCGGATCGCGATTTGGGCTGTATAAGCGAGGTAGGGAAACTTCTATAGGGATATAACTAGTATCGACGTCGGCTCCGATTTAATAGGGCTAGGGCTATTACTAGGCTCCTCTTTATCGTTATTATCGTACGTATTATCGTACGTATCCGGAATCGTAGCGAGCTTAATATTCGGAAGATTAAGCTAGATTATAGACCTTATAATCTCCTCTACGTACTCGACCCTATCGATATAATTAGTAATTTTAAAGATATATACGAGTAAATTGTATATATAACGCCTTATACAATGTTCGATTATTACTAGCGTTATCCGTAGTAATTAAGATTAGTTTCGTTGTTATACTAACCCTATCTATTACCGTATAGATAAGATTCGCTATATCCTTACTAGTATAGGAACCTAGAATTTTAGAGAATCCGATTATAAGTTCCTAGAGTTTCTAATCCGAATTAATAAAGTATAGTATAATCGAAAGGAAGGAGGCTCTTATAGTCCGGCTTAACTAGCTATCGATAGTAATAGCTACTCGGCGAGTATTACGGAGGATCTCCCGAATATCGTCTAACGTAGCCTCTTTGTTCTTTTCGAATATAATACGCTATATTATAGCGCCGAGAAATAGGGGAGGGTAGTTTATAAGATATAGATATGTCTTCTATATAGACTCCCTTTCGTAGAAGTCTTCCGGAAGACCGTTTATAGCTAGTATTTCGTTTGCTAGTTGCTTAAAGTCTTCGGGGGAGAAATCGGTAGCCTTTAATCCTAGAGCTTCCTTAAGCGTAGCCTATAAGTATGAGCTATATCTCTACGGTTAATTAAAGTAGCCGGAATCTATAGCCGGTAGCTATAGCCGGCATTTTAGAAGACGTACCTCTTTCTAGAACGCTATATCTATATTAACTCTCCTCTCTCCTTAAGATTCCCGATACCGTTTAGAATAGAGATAGTTCGTAGGCGATAAGTTCCTATCCCCTAGTTTCGGGTATTTTAAGATTAAACTATAGAAGTTATAGACAATTACTAGTTAACCTTTAAGTCGAGAAGTCGTATAACGGTATAATGCCCCCTCTATAAAGAACTTCTAGAATATATTCGTTCGCTCTTTACTCCTCTATCGCATCGAGTACTTCCGGAGTTTATACTCCTTCGAACGTAAGTATAAAGGGAACTATATCTTATAGACCTATTAATTAAACTGCTCTATATACTCGGGTTTCTAAAGATACGCCTAGCTAGCCTTTTCGAAGATTTCCGGGTTAATACTCGATATTCTTATATCTCCGAATAACCTTCTACTTAGACTCCGTAAAGGTAAGGACTAGGTAGTAGTACCCTATAATAAATTCCTACTACTAGGATTCGGAGAGGATAAATCTAGCCCTAATCGTCGTCTAGGACTCGATAGGCTCGAAGGTAAGTATACGACCTCCTTTCGACGTTATCGTAATCTCGCTCGTATACTAGACTATTTCGACTATCGTCTCGTTATTACCCTTCCTAGTATAGCGCCTAGTATATATATAATATCGGTCGGTATGTTTTAAAGTTTCGTACGGTAAGGTAAGGACTTAGGAGTAGTAGATATATACTAGTAGCTATAGGGAAATACCCTTTCTTTAATAGTATCGTATCGTTAGGAATAGCTAGGTAGTATATAGCTAGCTACCTTTTTTTTGTTTCCTAGCTACCTAACTACTAGATTTTTTTTCCTAGCTACCCTAGCTAGCCTAACTACTAGAATTTCTTTTCTAGCTACTCTAACTACCTAAATTTTGCCTTCTATATAGCGGCTCTCTCCTACTAACGGAACCGAGCTACTATACCTAACGAATCTAAGCTCGTTTTTAGTCTTAATCTATCCTCTTTTAGTATAAGACACTCGATAAGTAAATACTTAGGCCGAGTCTAACTACGAAACCTAAGACTAACTAATAGCTCTATTAACTAATCCTAATCCTCGAACTCCTTCCGCTTCTTAGTAAAGACCTTAAAAAGCGCTCGAGCTTCTTCGGGTACCTACGGAGTAGTCGAGATAAAGCCGTATCGCTAAAATAGGTAATCCTTCGGAGGCTTATATAGAGATTTAGAGAATTCTAACGCTAATCTATCCTACTAGTAGCTTAGATTCCGGATATAAGCCCTCTCTACCTTAGTAAAGATTTTATATAGTAGTAGTACTCTACCCTCGAGAAACGCTTTCTATTTAACTATTAGTATCTACCGGCTACGAACACTAGCTATATATACCGAGTATAGAATAATTACCTATACCCCTTCCTCCTTTAGTAACACTTCTACCGTCCCTAGATACCTAGCCCCGATCGTATTAATCGTAAGCTACTTTGCCTTTATAGATATAAAGGCTTCGCTTTAATACTAATAAAGAAACTTCTACTCTATATCGAGGATATAAAGACGACTAGTCTTAATTCTAATCCTTACTAGCTTTTCGTAGTAGCTTTAACTATAATTTTCTAGATTAATAGGACTTATACCTTAGCCCTTTACTAGTATCTCGTCTCTTTAACTATACTCGATCTACTCCTAGCGCTTATCGTCTATAGCGTTAGGCCCTAAGACTATACCTATTACTAGATCGACGTATAGTATCTCCTCGCTTTTTTTAGTTCATTTATTCGTAGTATTAAGCTCTATCGCGGTATCCTAACCTCTAGTATTATTGTTCTCGGCTATCTAAATATCTCCGTTACTATCGGTCGTATCGATAGAGGTAGCGGCTATAGGTCTAAATACTATTAGTTAACGTATTAAAGAAAAATATACCGGCTATAGCTACCGGCTACGGCTACTAGCTATAGCTACTAGCTACGGCCGCTAGCTAGATTAACTTACGCTACTAGAACTTTACGCTCGAAAACTAGCCGTAATTCTTTCTTCTTCTTAGCCTTCTCTTAGGTTGTCTTCTTATTCTAACTTTTACTTTTTTCTCTAGGCGCTAGCTATCGATAGAATGCTTTATTCCGCGCCTTTCTTCTCTTATCCTTAGCTCTTTTATCCTTATCTATCTTCTCCTTTCTCTCGCGGTTTCGTACGGAATTCTTCTTTATAGAGTACTCCTTTTTAGTCTTACGCTTTTTAGTTAGACGCTTAGGCAAAACAAACTCGCGGTCTTTAGTTCTATCTTCTATTTAGCGCGCGGCGCGCTTCTCTCTTACTATTATAAGGAAAAGGGGCGGGGGCGTAGCGTATAGTAGTTATTGTCGGTATAGGTATAGAGGAAGAAGTTAAAAGTATAAGAATATCGCGAAGCCCTAATTGTTACCGCCTATATAACGTTATATAGGTAAGCTTTCGCAACTACGGTAACTACGCCCTAGTAATAGCAACTACGCCCTAGTAACGGCAACTACGCCCTAGTAATAGCAACTACGGCTTAGTAACGGCAATAGAGCGTAGTAAATATAACCTAGTAACTATTATAGCTAGCAATCGTAGCCGGCAGTCGAATAAGAGTATCCTTATAGCAAAACTACGCCCTAGTAACGGCAACTACGCCCTAGTAACGGCAACTACGCCCTAGCAACGGCAAAAGAGCGTAGTAAATGTAATAGAGTTACTATTATAGCCGGCAATCGTAGCCGGCAGTCGAATAAGAGTGTCCTTATAGTAAAACTAATATAGTCTCTAGTTTAAACTAGGAATCTATATAGTTCGAAAAAACCAAACCGGAACTAGGGAGCTAGTTCGCCGCTAAGAAACTAAACTATATACGTTTAGTAGTTCGGAAACCGAACTACTACGGGGTCTATATAGCTTAGGCGTACTACCCTTATTAAGAAGGTAGTATATATATACTATTAGTCGCCTATAATTAGCCTATCTAGCACCGATAAAATACAGAACTATATAGTTAATATAGCGGCGGATGTAACTAATATCTTCTATACGAACAGCGTATTAGAGACGAAAGAATAGAGAGATCTCCTTTAGTATTCTATATATCGAGGTAAAGGCCGTATCTAGGCTAACCGAATTAGTTATACCCTCGTTAATAGAAGGGCGATCTAGTATACTATCCTATACCTCGGGTAAAAACACTAGTTGTCGGATCTGCTTTACGATATCGAGATAGTTAGATATAGTTACCTTATCCTTAATCGCCTATAGGACGACTTTATAACGAGTCTCTTCGCCTTTTAATAGATCTATTATATCCTCTATAATAGTCTTTCGGTCGACAAGAATCTAATTGAAGATAGGGATAATACGGGCATTAAATAAACGCTTTAGTAGGCTCTGCATTCGGAAGAACTTAGGGGACTTTAGATTAACCTCCTTTATACCCTAGAAGTTAATATCCGAGCGTAGGGAAGCAGAGATATTAAGCTTATCGCCGGCCTTATTTCTATACTAATTAGTACGGAATATAGTATAGTAGAGGTTTATAAAGGTATGTATTATAGCAGGTACGCTAAGGATATACTGCTTTCTATTATATAGAGCCTTCTTCTCGATACTATAGAATACTATATATAGTATACGCTCTACGGTTAACTAATTACCGATATTTAAGATAAGGCGCTTTGCGAAGATCGGGTCCTCTAGCTTTAGTCTAAGGTTAGTTAGGTACAGGTTATTATAGACAAGTAGTATACCCTTGTTCGATATCTTATCGTTCTAGGATAGCGGCATTAATAGGATCGGAGTCTTGCCTTTAAAGCTACATTTGATTTCTAGAAATTACGGGCGGCTAATCCGGTTACTATTTATATTAACGACGTTAGCATTCTTAGCCGCCTTAAAGATAGACTTAACTATATCGCCGAAGATATATAAGATAGCCTTATCGATCTAGAATAGCTCGACTAGCTCGATAGTATCGTCGCTATCGATATTATCGATAATACTCTAAGGAACGACTAGCTTAGAGCGATTATATATATCCTAGGTTAAGCTACTATCCGGAAAGTTATCGCAAAGCGCGATATACGAGTTAGTAATATTAACCTACTCGTTATTATCCGCAATATCCTAGTCCTTCTTCTTAGATTGCCGATTAAAGTTGTTATAATAAACCTACTAGATAAATAGTATAACCTAGTCTTTAATCTTTAATCTCTAGACGTCGGCATTCTTCTTAATTAGTATCTATATAGTCTTATACAAAGGCACGAGACCTATATTATAGAAGGTATTAACAATACATACTAGTAGGTTACCGATATATACTAAAAGAAGACTAAGAGATTTTGGTAACTAAGAAGCGCGCTTTATTGCTATCGCATATACTACTATATAGGTAAGCGTATAGATCCGCTTCTATATTATACTACGCTTATCTTTAAACGATATTACTCGCTAGTTAGTATCCTTCTAAGTATTTAGTAATATAAAGTCTTCGAGTAGGCGGTACTAATTTAGGGCGATATTATAGATTATATCGTATATCTCGGACAGGCGACGTAGTTTAGCGAGGCTATCTTCCGGCTTATAGGCATCGAAGAACTTCTTACCGATTAGATTCTTTACCTTAGACCGTAGCTCGACTATACTAATAAGGTACTTATTAGGCTAGAGGTCTTATATAGTATATATACGCTTCCGATATGTCTTAGTGCCCTCCTTACTGCCCTAGATATATATTATCTCCTTAAAGCTGATACCGAGTATACGTATATTTACTATAACGGCCTTATACTTCTGCTTTTTAGTTATTCTTAGGCGGCGGTCGCTAGTAATAGTATCTAGCTTAGGATCTTTATCCTCTTTAATATCTATCTCTACGAGGCTATAGGCGCCTAGGCGCTAGGTAGGTATATCGCTATTATTATCGTTAAATGCGTTGCTATTTCGGTTCTCGAGCTTAATCTCGTCCTTACTCTACGATTCTTCTTAGATATTAGTATCCTCGTCCTCGGTTATACTATTATCCTCGTTAGGTTAGGTATAGTTAACGTTGCGATTAGTATTTCGTAGGCGGCGAGGAGCTATAGTACGACCTAAAGGCTAGCGTCGAGCAGCTAGGTAGTCCTCGTTACCTAGTATACTCTTAGAGTTGTAATAGTCGCTATAATACTAGCGCTAGCGGCGGCGATTTATATTAATTATATAGTCTAGCAAGTCGGACGTCTAGCCTAGTAGATCTATATCCTCCGGAGTAATTATCTCTTTATCTTTATCGTCTAGTCGAGGTAGTAAGGCGGCATTGTTTTTGTAATAGTCGAGTTTAGATATAGCTAGAATATTAGAGAGATACGAAGAAGAAGTATACTAAGCGCCTCCGCCTAGACGACGATCGAGCTCGGAGGTATTAGGCTAATTAGTTAAGTTAGAGTCGCTTATATTAGCGATATCGTATAGATTGTATAGGTATTAGCTAGTATTTAGTATTCGGAGTACCGACTCGAAATGCTAGCTAAAGTCGCGTCTACTATATAGCTATATCTTAGTAGCGAGATATCGTATATATATAGTCCTTACTATAAAGTTAGTCGAAAATACTAGATCTAGAAGCGCGCGGGTGTTTTAGATATATTAGGGGTAGTATATCTAGAGGCTTCTAAGCCGCTAGTAAGTACTATCGGCGGAGTAACGAGAACTTAGCACTACTATACTATATATACTCGTATATAGTAAGAAAGCCGGTCGGAAGTACTTTACGAAGGGCCGCGAGTTAGTCTAGTTAAAAAAGGAGGATAGTACTACTACCTATTCTTTTAAAGAGCGGCGAGAACTTAGTAACGAGAAGTCGTATATACTTAGGCTTAGCGAGAAAATCGGTCGGACAATGCCTATTAAAAACCTCTAAGTATTGTCTTATTGCGTAGCGAGATATTAAGAATCGATATATTTAGGTATATTTAGGTAGGTAGAAAGCTATAGAAGTAGGCTTAGCTAAATAAGTATAACTTAACGTATACACGTCGTAGAGACTTGATTTTTAAATCGCTATATTCGGAAATAGCAGCGCTATAAGCTCTAAGTATTGCTTTAGTTAATTTCGCGTATCGCGTTATATTAGTATTTTAATAGCTATAAGTACTAAGAAACAAGACAGTTTAGCTTTAGGCCTTTAGGCGAAGGATTAGGTAGAGTAGTATATAATTAGTTACTCGGAAGTCGGCAAATAAACCCTAAATTATACTATTACGTACGATTCGAACTAATTTACTACCGCGGAACGTAATCCTTAATATATAAAGGCCTAAACGGAGGTAGCTACTACTACTGCTAGCTTTAGTACTAGAAAGCGCGTCGTAGGTAAGGCTCCGCGTAAGACGACGACTAGCGCTTCTACTACTAGTAGCAATAATCTTACTAAGCGTCGATAGCGCCTAGGAAGGAGGTTTTATATATAGCGGGTAGCGTAGCTAGCATTTTTACTCCTTTTTACTAATCCTTCTTTAGCCGTCGGCCTTCGTAAGATTCGGAGGTATTAGAGTATTAGTAAGCTCCTAATTACTAGAGCTCCTTTCTAACTACTTATTCGGAAAATTACCTAAGGTAGTTCAAGGGACTATTACTTTTAAGCCTCTGTTATAGAAGCCCTTTAGGAGGCTATAGAAGCCTACCTAGTTTGTATCTTCGAATATATATTTCTCTTCTACCTCTTTTTAAACTATACTAATACTATTTTAGCTATTAACCTTATAGCTATCTACCCGAAGCGCGTTACGATTATAGATAAGGATTTTAAAGCCCTTAATTAGATTCTTAAGGGCTAGAATATCTATATTCGAGATAGTAGTAGGTAGGAAAGATATTCTAATAGGATAGATATTCTTAGTATCCTCTATAAGTATCTCTATATACACAATATACCGCTATTATATAGCGCTATATAGCGCGGTCTAAATACTCTCTAAGTATATGTATAGTATAATATGCTTTATTATTAGTACGGAATTACAGTCTTCGAAAATTCTATTAGTACTAAGGAGTAAAAATGCTAGCTACGCTACCGGCTATACTACCGGGTCTTTTAAAGGGCTTGCTTTAAGTTATATATATATTCCTATACTTCTTAGAAACCGACAAATTCTATAGTTCAAACCTGCTACTCCTATAGTTGCTTAGTAACCTAACCTAAACCAAACTAGAATATCGGCTTAGTAAACTAAACTAAACTAAACTACTATAGGCTCTATATTTTACTACTTTCGAGCTTTTTAAACCTCTACCCTAGTAATACTATAGCAATGCGCTACTAAGGTTTTATTTATTACTATATACAAGCTATATAGCTCTATACTATAATACTATTATATTATATCCCTAAAGACGTTTTATATAGTTTTTATTATTATAATTATAGAATATATAAGATAGTCGACAATTTTATTAGAATTCTAAGATTTCTATCGTAAAGATATGTTCTAAAAGAATTAGACTTATATAATTAGTATCTTAAAGACTAGGAATCTAGATAAATAGTAATAAAAATAATAAAATCTAAAATTATTATTATACTAGATAGACTAGTTATAAGTATATTAAGAGAGCTATTCTGTATAGGAGACTATAGTTAGGAGATTAATCCTAGAAGTTGAGAGGTCTTACCATTCTCAACATTCCGGAAAAGAAAAGTAGTGGCCCTAGGCCCTCTCAAATGTCTTGGCTTTGCGAACTACATAACAAGGACGATGCTATAAACTGGCACACATTTCATTACCGCACGAGAACGCCACGTAAAGAATCTTGCCATATGCGAGCGACGAGGTGCCTGGCATATCTCATGTCTACTGCAATCTCATAGAAGTCAACAACATGGCCGAAGAGGCACAAGATCTCGATACTGGACGCGTCAAAGAATGGCGATCCATTATCACGCTCGTCGTGTTTGTTATCACTAGTGAGTACATTTTGCATTGCACTCGCTCAGAATATGCGCTGACCTCGGCCATCTTCTCAGACATAATTGTTTTATTCCCCTTCCGCGTGCCGGTATACATCCCGCGGCCAATATGGAACCGTGTCGTCGACAGTCTGACTGCTCTTCGAATCATACCAGAACGGCAGGACAAGTCACATCGCTTCCGAAGAAGAGACAGTCTGATGTCTAATGGTCAGCCGAAGCGGTTTTTCCGAACGAGCTTTCCGATGAACATGTTTACTGCGCCTCTCATCGCAGACTTGTTCCTTCTAGCGATCCGGGCGATTGGGCGACAGGAAGTACATGACGGCACAGTCGGTGCCCAAGGAATCAGTCCAATCGATATCATGGTCTTCTTCCTAAGTCTGGCATATATTGCGATATCGATCGATGCTTCAGGAGTAATTCGCTGGCTCGCTTTCAAGGTCTTACAGAAAGCTGGAAAAAACGGACATCTGTTGTTCGTGTACTTGTACACGTTCTTTTTCCTGCTCACGAGTTTCGTTGGGAATGATCCTATTGTTCTCTCAGGTACTCCCTTTCTGTCATATATGACGAGAGTGTCATCGAATATTAAGCATCCGCGGGCCTGGATCTTTATGCAGTTTGCTGTGGCAAATATCGGGTCCGCTATCCTTGTTTCGTCAAATCCCACGAATTTGGTTTTGGCAAGCGCTTTCGAGATCAAATTTATCCACTACACTGCGAATGTGGTGGTTCCGGTTGTTGCAACTGCGATACTACTACTTCCGTTCTTCCTATATGTGGTGTTTAGGAGCGAGGATCTGGTCCCACGATCGGTAAAGCTGCACGAACTTCCAGAAAGATACAAGCAGAAAGCTCCTGTCAATCCGAATATACCCAATGCACGCGGGCCAATTGAGGATGACGAGATTGCGGCCTTAGAGGAGATCTTGAACCCTTTCCTTGATAAACCAAGTGCATGGTTCGCTGGTGCAGTCATGGCGGCGACTCTGATTACGATCCTGGCTATCAATGCCAGTAGTGGAGGGCACGAATATCCGGTCTTCTGGATTACTCTTCCTGCTGCGTTTGTTGTCTTCTGCTGGGATCTTACTCGTGGCTGGCTTAATCGGGAGGACACGCGAAGGCAGGCTCGACTGGGCCAAGAAGCGATCGAGCATGCCCAAGAGTCACACATGTCATCAGCGATCGATGCTGGCTCTGAGAAGGCTGGGCTGTTTACTCCAGATGCCAACGACAAGTCGCTCGAAGCCATAGCCTCCCCTGCCGTAAATAAGGGCGAGGTAGCATCATTGCCACAAAGCGCAACTGGAGAGACCGGGACACTTCCGAACGCAGCAGACGAGGAGGTACACACGAAGCCAGGGTATGTCCAGGAGCTTGTCGTTCCATCAAAAGGACTAAACGAAGTGTCCGGGACCATAGAGCTTTCTGGGCGAGCTGGAGCAAAACCGAAGCCTAAGTCGCTCATGGAGCTGATTGCCACTTTCTTTGCGTGGTGCCAAGTCACATTCCCGACGATAACGACAGTCGCAAGCCATCTTCCATGGACATTGGTCCCATTTGCTTTTTGCATGTTTGTCCTTGTACAGGCTCTGGTAACGAAAGGCTGGGTCCCGGTCTTCGCTCATGGCTGGGACCATTGGATTGACCGAACTGGGATCGTCGGGGCCATTGGCGGCATGGGTTTCCTGTCAGTCGTGCTGTGCAACTTTGCAGGCACCAATATCGGCACTACTATCCTGCTGAGTCGTGTTATCCAGGCTTGGGTTGCCATCCATAAGCAAAATGATACGACCGTTAGCCAGAGAATGTTCTGGGCCACGGTTTATAGTATGGCGATTGGTGTCAATTATGGAGCATTCAGCACCACGTTCAGTGCCTCTCTGGCTGGCTTACTTTGGCGAAGCATCCTCTCCCGCAAGGATATCCGGGTGGGAAGCTTGGAGTTTGCACGAGTGAATGTGCTGATCATTACTTTCACTACGGTCGTTGGACTTGCAATCTTGATCGGACAGATCTACATTACTCGAAGTACAGATATGTATGTAGAGGGATAATGCCAGCCTCAAAGCTCTTTGGCAAGCATCGTGACGACGTACTTAATAACCCTTCTGAGTAGTGGTACTCTCACCTGGGCCAATCCCAGCTCTTCCTGCAACGGCTCAGAACATGCACTTCAATTTTCTCTCCTTCTTCCCAGCACCTCCCGACCTTCCTCCTCGCACATTCGTGCTGCCTTCACAACCACACAGTAAGTCACCTCTTTATAAAGATGGTTGGAGGAACCGTAGTCCCTAGTCGACGATCGACCTCGAATCGTTTCGGCTGAGCACTACACACAGATGCCACGAAGGCTGTCACACGAGGTTGAAACTGTTACAATCGATCATGATTGCGCGACGCCATTTCACACCTTGGCAAATTTTTCGGATCGCTGAGCTGTTCGGAACAGCATGCACGGCTTGCATGGACGCCTAGACAGTTCAAGTATTGCGGGCATGTATTGCGGGCATGTATTAGAAGTCTTCCAGCTATGACGCACGCTTAGCCTTAGCGCACGCTTTCTACGGTTTAGCTTATATACCTTCTTTATAGTCGCATTCCATTAATACAACGTCTATACTATTAACGCTTTCGTCTATTTACATTTCGACTACGCGCTTTCGATTAGGAAACCTCTTAGACCGTTATAGGCAATATTATAATTAGTATACGTCGCTTTACCTATAAAGCCCGATTTTCGGCTTTCTTACTTAGAGTATATATAATATCTTCTTCCTACGGCTATTTAAATATAATACGCCTAAGAGGGTTCTTAGCCTTCTTTATACTCTCCTAAAGGTTATTCTTTAGTTATCTAGAAGCTATAACTATCTATTTCTTTACTTCCTTCTTAAGGGCCTATTTAGCTAATTTCTCCTTCCTTTCTTTAGTAGTAGCCTGTCTCTGCTATACCTTTAATTCCTTTACTTATATAGTATATTGCTTATTTAGCTACTACTAGACCTTCTTAGCCTCCTTCTAAGTAGCCTCTTCTTATTTCTCTATTACGATATAACACTATTGTATGTACGATAGCAGGCAGCGGTTACTATTAACCGCTGCGGTCGCTATTGCTACTAATAGTAGGACTATTATATAGATAGCTTACCTCGCGGCACCTTAGAGAATTATTAACTTTTATACCGTATAACCGTTACGATACCTTCGTACTATAACCGTATACCTAGCAACTTAGTAGCTTCGCTTAATACCTAGTTAGCTTCTATACTAACTACTAGTTCTCTACCCGAATCGACCCTAGTCGTTATAGCTACGACGAGAATCGACGCGATTAGCTACGGGTCCTACCGATCTTCCGCCGATTACTACGATTTAACTCCTACCCGTTACGATAGTACCTATTCGATTTACTACCCTTCTATACTATACCCTACCGACGCGCGAGCGCCTTATCGGTAATCCTACTAGTATACCGAGGAGATAGTAGTAGTAGTTTCTACCTTTAGTAGTAATTGCCTCTTATACCTAGGTCTAGGGGTAGCCGCTTTCCCTAGGAGGACCTGCCCCGATAAGCTACGCTCCTCCGCCTTTAGTCGGTTCTCTATCGCTATCCTCTATCTAGAGACTATCTTACCTCTACCCTCTTACTAATAGTTTACCCGCTTACCGTAGCTCGTTTAGACTCGCTTCTAACTCTGGTAGAAGCCTCGAAATTAGCTAAGCTAGCGGTTTAACCGCTACCCTAGTACTATAATCTCGGATTACTAGATATAGAGCCTTATATCCTACGTATCTGTTCCTATATTTAGAACTACGTCGATTATAGCGAGAACTTCGCGACCTAGCTTAGAGTAAAGTACGGCCGAATCGACTTACTTACCTTATACGTTCTATACTATTACCCGCTCGTAGGAAATCCGCCGCCTCTATAGGCTAAAATCGAGGAACTCTACCTAAACACCCTTAACGGTTACAACTTCTTAGGCTAGTAGGTAGTAGATAAAGGAATTCTAACTAAATCGGTTAAGGAGCTTAAAGCCGCGCTCCTAACTGTGCGCGATTTACGCTATTACCGTTAATTTTACCCGGAAATCTATATACTACCTATAGTAGAGCAGCGTCTACTAGCCCGACCGGCTTAAGTTCTAGCGCGGCCTACGGTTTCGCCTATTACTACGGTAGAAACAACCGTACCGCTAGAACAGCGTCCTAGTTCGCCTAATAGCTCGCTCGAATCGGTTTTCTTACGGAGGCTACTTAAGCTACGATACCTAGCAGACAAGAATCCTTAGAACCTAAGGGAGCCTCTATCTAAGGCTTTGGCTAAGGAACTATTAACCGGGCCTTCCGATCTATCGACGTCGCCGTTCCGGGATATCGGCCGCGGCTAATTACCTCTAATAAACGACAGCCTCGCCGACCCGTAGGCTAACGAGCCGCGTAGTCGTTTCTAGTGTCGTACCTTAGTAGACGCCTCGTAAACAACCGAGGAGATCGACCGAGCGAATATTGCTATATAATAAAACCGTTAGCGTCGTAATTATCTTCGCAAATTAGCTAAACGGAGAGGAGTCTATTTTAACGAAGTTGTATTAGACTTTCTAATAGAATAGGCGATCTTACCGCTATCGGCTATACGTAAGCTAAGTCCGCCTTAGCCGAACCTACCGTAGCCGAACCTAGGCTAATACGATTACTAGTAGAGGGCGGACGTATATATAAATGCCTATAGGCATAGTCGCTTATATCGGGGCGGCTTTGCGCTAGGCGATCCGCCTAGCAATCTACCTAGTAATCCTCCTAGTAACCCTACTAGTAACCCTCCTAGTAATTCGTCGGTCTATCTACTACTACCGCTAGCTAGTAACTTCGATCTAGGCGATCCCTCTCGCGAGCCGGCGTAGGATTAGCCGTTACCCTTTCCGCTATTAGACCTATAGGGTCTACTACGAGAAGGTAAGAAGTAACGCTAGAAATACTATTAGTATCGGGGTAATCCGAGTAAGGATAGATCCTCGTCGAATAGCGAGGATTCGGACGATTCTAACTAATCTTCGTTAGACGACGATAGCTCCTCTAATAATAACTATTATAGACGCACTCGACGTCGTAGACACCGTTAGCGTTATTAGAACTACGTCGCGGAAACGCCGGATTCCGAAGCGAGCTATATTTATAGCTACTACGCCCGCCCTTAGCGGCTGCGGTTTAATCTAGCCTACTTCAGCTTCTTCGATTCTCTACTTAGCGTCGCGGATTATAGCGAGGGGGACTATGCCTTAGTCGGAAACAAGATAATATACCGTTTAGTATATACTTTTATTAAAGCGGCTAAGGATTATACCTATATCGTAGGACGAGAGACGGTTCGCCTTAACCTCTCCTTATACTTCCGAGGAGTCGCCCTTAGTTAGTATTATAGTTACCTTTTAAGTAGGAACTAAGCTAAACTACGCGGTAGGTACGGTTTAAAGCGCTAGGAGCGTTGTCTTAGTAAGAAATAGAAGGTTCTACCGATAAAGGCAATAGATCTCTTCGATAAGTAGCGCTACGACTAGTAGGATATCGTAGCTAGGCGCTTAGTAACGGATTTTATCGTTAAAACGGTGCGGCTTGCTAAGGATGCTAGTATAAAGAAGTCTAATCGGCTCCTCGAGGCTTACCGTCGGATAGATCTACGACTTTAGCTTAATATCGACGAACCGAATCGCCGTACGAAGGTCGATAGATAGGTTACTTATTGCAAGAAGTAGGCGTTAATTTAGGAGTATATACTCTTGTCTTCGTCGAGTCGCTACTAGGATATTATAACTAGAGACAATAGCCGTACTAGTAAGGTTACCTAGTAGGGCCGGTCTAAAGGGAATACCTCCTACGCCCTAGTAAGTTATACTCTAGTAAGAGCGCTCCCGGATAGCCGGAACCGCGACCTCGACCGACCTACCCTACCTCGCCCTACTAATACCTACTAGCAGAATCGTCTACTACTAGTACGAAATAGCGAAGGACCGTCGAAGGATAGTAGCCCTACCTTCCTTCCGAAAGATCTAAAGCGAGTTAATTCGCGCCTATTTAATCGATAGGATAGAAAGCGTAACAATCGAGCTCGTAAGTAGGCTAACTTTGCCGATAGTAGTAAGAAAGCAGGAGATACTATAAATAATACTAACTAAGCCGATAATAGCTATTAGGAGGATAGTTAGGAGGATAATAGAAGAGTCGACGCGGATAATTAGAGCTATTTCGGTAACGCCGGAGAAGACGCCGACTACTTTACCGACCTATACGACTCCGATCCGGGCTTAGGAGCCTACTTTATAAACGTAGGCGACTGCTCTCTATTAGCGTTAAACTCGGTACTATAGGCTAAAGCGTCCCTACTAGCGGCGATCTAACTATTTGCCTCTACGAAGTACGCTTATAAGATCTATAGGTAGCGATTTAAGTTAGGTAACCTTCTGTACTAGTATATTCGTAAGAAGTATATAGGGGCGACGACGCCTTCTACTATTATCGAACGCGTATTAGCAAACCCGGAAGTAATTTAGTCGAAGGCGCCTCTATTAGCCTAGTAAGGTTACGTATTCCGGAATTAGCAATATATAACTTTCCCTCTTCGGTTGTTACTATTCGGTATATCTATATAGGTCTGCCTAGATACCGGCTATATGCTTACTATTGCGGAAAAAGACTTTATTTTAAGCTATCGCCTAGACGTAGAGGTACGTAAGCTACGCGAACCGATCGAAATCGGTAGTATTACCGGCGCGTATCGCTCCGGGGAATACGTCGTATTAGATATATTTGTCCTAGTAGCGAAGACAGACAGTATAGTCTCCCTAGTACAGATAACTCGTAAGGTTTACCTAGTTCCTAAACTAAAGGCGAAAATCCTAGTCGGTATAGATATAATTACTCTAGAGGGAATAAAGATCGATGTTCCTATATAGACGGTTACCGTAGCTAGTTAGGACAACGCCTGCTTTAAAGTAGCTGTTAAGCGTAAGAAAGGGAAGTCGGTTTAGCGCCCTATAAGGCTAGTAGAGGACGTAATATTAGCGCCGCGTACGGTCGCCCTCGCGCTAGTTAAGTACGGCGGTAACCTTCCTAAAGGCCGGGATTTTATTCTTAACGCCGGTTTCCTAGCCTAGCCGACTAGTAACGCCTAAGGATTATCGTTATAAGCTCTACCGCTAGTAATAGCTTACAATTAGGTCGTAGACGCTAATTTTTCTTATACGTATATTTATAATAATGCGACGACTCCGGTAACGGTACGAGCTAGATAGTTACTCGGTTCGTTAAGTAATAGGACTATTGCTAGGGCCTACTATATCGACGTAGCTAACTACGGACTAGTAGGATTAAGCCCTAACGCTTTTACGGCAACGCGGGATATACTAAATACGTAGCGGGAACACTAGTACGCGTTAGGCGTAACGATCTACGGTAACGATAACTAGGTAGACTAAATC